TATCGGTATCGGATCGGAAGTGCAAAAACCTGGATCGGGACATCTCTAATTTAATCATTTCTTTGTCCCAAAACGCCTGAATAACTAACAGGATTCCCCTCAGAGCTCGACCTTCACACATCAATCGCACGTTGGTTTCGTTCAAATTCCTCAAATATTTGATAAATATGATCTAAACCTCAAAGAGCCTTTTGTTTAACAGGAATCTTCAATAATTGAATAAATCAGCAGCCGACACCAGGCAGGGGTTTTACTGCTGTTTTCATCCAAAATGGCTTTAAAAAAGGAATTACATCAATCTACCAGAAGCTCCATCAGAGCTGCTCAGAAGGAAGAGAGGAAGAAAATCTTCCTGTTCTTCTGCAACAGATGCACTTTGAAAAAATAAAGAAATCTACTGTAAGACAGGAAGCATTTTAAATACAGGCTCAATCACACAGTGGTCCTTTAATAGATAAACGTTTTAATCAGAAACTTGTTTTTAAATCAAAAAATTCGTTTTATGATTTTTTTTTTTGTATTTCCTTATCCTTGAATCTGATGATGTAAAAGTTTTAGTTTTAATGCAAACATTTTAGTCTTTAGACTGCAGATCACATCAGAAGCTAAAGACAATCTGGAAAATCCAATAAAGAAGAAAAATAATGATGGGAGGCAGAGGAATGAAGGATTATCCAGCGGTTTTCCTCTTTCAAACATCAATGATTATTTTCTCTGGGTTCTTCCTTATTGTCACCAGTGGGCAGATTCATCTTCCACTCACAGAGAGGAAGGCGTGGACGATGTCGGCCTTTATGGAGCTCAGAGGTTTGTCCCGGATCACTATGAAGATCTGCTCCTCCTTCTCCAGGTTGATGAAGTTCCCGAACCACGATTTCTTAGCGAGCCTGCAGAGGAGTTTGGAAACACAGAACCAATCAGAACCGACCTAACAGAATCAAATCGATTTCATGTCTTAGGATGTAAACATTCATTCATACATGATAGTGAAAAAGAATTCTACTGGAAAATCCTTGAAAGTTCTTAACTTGAACCTCAGAAATGGTATCAGGACATCCTGAGAAAGGGATCACATGACCAACCGACAGCTAAATGATCTGTGAGCCGTTTAGGTCTCTGTTTAAAGACTGAAGCGGATCCATTTTCCAGCCTCTCTCTCCTCCTGCACTCTTCTATTTCTGTCACGGTTATTTATAACAGCGTGACTCCTGAGCAACAACGTGATGCGGCGCATCAGTCGAGCGACGCTGCGTACAGCTGCTTCCCGCCGTCTCGCCTCCATCCTGCAGCTTCAGTGGTTTTGGAGACTGAGCAGATTTCATCTTAGAGGCAACAATAAGTGGTTAGGTTTATACTCACTCTGGAGACGAGTCTGGGGTGAGGCTGGACATGTCCTCCTGGGTGGGAACTGCACATAGAAACAAAGCTCAGATTTGGATCTGTTTTTTATTATTTCTATTTTTTATTGCTCAGATTGAACAATAAATAATCAGCCAGAACAAAGTCGACTAAGATGGTTGTTCAGATGGGTCACTGAGAGAAAGGAAGAGGAATCCACTCCTCCAGTCGCTGAGGCATAAATAAGCTTTTGAACTTTTCACCGTCTCATTAAATCAGGAATTAACACAAACTCTGACGGGTTCTCCTCTCTGATTCCTTCTTTCATTTTTTAAGATGGTTGCTTTTCTCTAACAGACCTTTAAATCCAGAAACAGAACAGCTAGATTCAGACTGTAATTCCATCAAGCACTGCTTTCTGAATCTATTAACCTGCTTTTATTTTGGCGTCTCAGAGTATTTGGGGATTAAATGGAACGTACACAAAGTTTTTTTTTAAATCTTTATCCCTTTAATGTTTGTCCAGGAAATTAAATATAAAAAAAATATGCAACATTCTGGACTGGATGCAAGAAAAGGTGAAAAGTATGGAGCTAAGTTGGGGACATGAAGTTTGTTTGAAAAATGTTTCTTTTTAAACTGAACAAAATTATTTTAAAGATTTTTTTTAAACTGAAAATGAAAGAAAACAGAAAAGCAACGTCTTCTTGGATTAAAGTTATTTTTGTTGTTTCAAACTGCTAACCCCTCCACATAACGACAGGCTGAATTTAAATATTACCCGCTGTTGCATTCAGAAATTGTGAGAAAACAGGAATGTCTTTCAAATATTATCGATATTCTATGTATATGTGACTGGTTTTATAAAAATAACATGCTTCCCTGATTTAAGCTGTTTATATCAGCACACAACGCAAACCTCATTCTACAAATGATACTGGCAATATTTCCAGTTGGTGGATTTTCTACAAGTACAGCAGAAGAATCGCTGCTGACCGCAGTAATTTGGCAGGATTCTAAGGGTAGCCTGGTGAGACCATCCTGATCCCGCGAGCTTTCAAGGTTTCACTCGCAGATCAGTCTGGAGACT